GAAGGAGGCAATGTAGCGAATAAATTGAATTTAAAAAAAGTGGTTGAGGGTTGGAGTATTAGAGAAAATGACGTGATGATTGAATTATTTGTGGGTGGGGGGAATTGAAGAAAAATAATTTTTTAAAACCCAATTATTTAAAAGGCTATAGAAATTTATTCGAATTTTTATTAATAATTTTATATCCGACAGTATCTGAAATAGGCACAGGAATTTGACATGGATTTTAATGTTTGATTTTGTGGTTTTGATATGTTGGTGATAAGAGGGGTTTAGTGATTAATTGTCTTGTTTGTTATTTTATATTAGTAGTTCATAGGAATTTTTGTAGAATTTTTAATTGATATTTCCTCTAATTATTTAAATTATTTTTATTTAAACAAATATTTATGCCTCAATCTTTATAAAATATTCCAAAGTTTCCTAAAGCACAATATTCGAATTTTGAGGCATAACTATCCATTTAAGCATAACTATCCATCCAAAGTTTGAAATGGATCGGAATAAAGTTTGATGGAATACAAGTTAAGTTTAGGGATGCAATTATTTTGGTACGTAGTACTGAGGGTAAACTAAGTAAATCTATTAACTGCATTAATGGATTCAAAGTTAAATTATTTCAAATAAATTATTCAAAGTTAATTATTCTTATTTAAAAGACTTTTAAGCCCAATAAAATTTAATTTTTGAATAATCAAAAATTATATTTATTTTGGTATTTCCAAAAAAATTGTCAACAAAAATAATTTTATTTAATAAAAAATATACTTCCTTATTTTTTATTAAAAATTTATTTTTAGAGGAGTTTATTCCAAATTTGTAAAAATTATTGGAAGAAATTATTTTGACTAAATTTAGAGTTTGACAAGATTGCGTGTTAATTTTATTTATTTATTAAATTTTTTTTCAAATTTCAGACAGTTTAAAATAACTAAAAAAATTTTTTTTAAAAAGGTTTTTATTTCACTGAATTATGAAAAAATTATTTAATGTAGTTATACTACAACCTAAGACTGTGCAAGTTTTCCACTTCCAATCCCTCACCTCTCTCATATTTTAAAATATATTTTAAACAGCTACTTCAGGTCCATCCTTTACGTCCAATTATTCGGAATTTTAATTAAAAAAACAAAAAAAGTTAAAAGAGCCTAACACAGGTCAGCTTCTATCTTTATGTTTTGTTATGACTTTGTAGTAAAGGGTTTGTGTTAGATCGGCCTGTTTTTTAACTAAAAGAAAGTGAGATTTACCAAAACATTAGAGGTTTAAACTACGTAGTAGGTGGCATTTCTTTTTTTCTGAATTCCGACGCTGATTGTTAAAGAGAAATTCATTTGTACCTGAAGATTATTTTGAGATATCCTTTAGTGGAGGTGTAAACAAAGTGAGGTCATAAATTCTTTTCTACTCCTCCTGTCCTCAAAAACCCATTTTTAGATTTTACACAAAATAATATATATTTTAATTATTTATAAATTTATTTAAAGTTTAAATTCGTCATATTTATTTTTATTTTTCTTTTCAAAATTTTCCCAAAAATATACGCAACAAAAATAAATATTTTTAAAATTAAAGAAAATAAAAACAATAGAGTTCCCAATTGCGCAAATAAAAAAATATTCCCAAAGTTCAAAAGCTTTTTTAAAAAAACCTAAAAAACAAAAAGTATTCCCTCAACATTTAAAAAATATTTATTTTTAATTTTTAATTCCTTGTTTTTCACAAAATAAAGCAAAGCACATAATAAACATTTCGTGCCAAATGAACACTTTATTTAAAATATTTATATATATTTTATTTAAATATATTAATATACCCATTTTTAGAAAGAAATGCGCAAAAATAAAAAGAAATTATATTTAAATAATGGTCAAGTTTTTTGTTATTTTTAAAGGAAATGTTAAATAACGTTTATTATTATAATCAAATATGTATATATAGTATATATTGTAATAAAAAATATTTAATTACGTTATTTGACATATAAATAAAAATATTATTATTATTTAATAATAATTATTTATTTTTTAAATTTCTTAAAAAAAGATTTAATTTACATTATTTGTTTTCTTTTCGTTTTATTTTTAAATATTATTTTTGGTTGCAATTTTTTAATATTTATTTTTGATTTTATATCATTTTTTGTTTAAATTTTAAAAAATATTTAAAAAATAGGGGAGAGATAGCTTTCTGATTTTTCTTTGTTAATTAATTTAAAATCTCAAAATTATTTTTCTCAATAACCACGCCCACATTTTAAATTCAAAATTTCTCTCCATTATATTTTGAGAGCAACTTCTTACTCAGTTTAATATCCAAAAATTAATCTAATAAAATCCACCAAATACTCCAATGCCCAAAAATACTTTATTGACCCTTTCCCTCCTTTTTAAAGCTTATAAGATTTAAATAATCCAAAAAAGGGGCGGAGCCTAAAATCTTTAACATTTTGTATTTTTATTTATTTCTTCCTCTTTTAATGTCACCACGCCTTTTTTTAAAATATCCTCTGTCTTATTTATTTAAAAAAACAAGTTGTTAATTATTATTTTTTGTTAATTTTTATAGTAGTAACCTTTTTGTGGAAACTAAAAATTGTGTATATATAAAGGCTTAAATGTATATATTTATTTGTAATAAATATACATTCGTGCTTAAGTGCGAGGGCTATTCCGAAACTGATCTTAGCGAAAGAATACCAAAAATAAAAAAATTCGGCAAAAGGCGAAACCTGATAAGTACACCCCTGATAAGTACCTAATAAATAATATTTAATTATTCTGATTTTATTTTTATAAATTCTGATTTGCTAATAATTTTCTAAAATTTCCCTTTTTTAATTAAAAATTCTGATTTTAATTAAAAAATTAATTTTATTTCAAAAAATCCTTCTCTATTTTTAGAGTATATTTAAGTCTAGTACATACATTAGTTATCTAAATATTCAGGAAGATAATCATCTTTACTAATAATTATTTTTTCTCTAAAAATAAAATAAATGTTTACTTTATGTACATCAAATATTTAACGGAAAAAACAATTAGGCAAATGACAAAATTTTTTTTGTATATATTTAAGTACCCCTAAATAAGTAGATCTTTGTAATAAATATTTTTTTAAAAATGCACTGACATCTCTAATATATAAACAAATTTTTAAAATTATTTTATTTAACTAATTTATTTGAAAGGCTTTGTCGTCAAAAGAAAAAAATTTTAGCTTTAAAAAGTTTTTGAGAAAAAAATAATTTTTTTTGAGAGGATCCTTTTTTGGTTTTAAATTCTTGTTGACGCTGACATATTCCTTTCAGATTTAGCTTTGACGGAAATACAAAAATATTTTCCGCTTTTGGATTTGTAAAAAATTCTTCCTTGTTTTTTTATATGTAAATATAAATAAATTTAATTTTTTAGTATTTCCTCTTCCACAATTAATTTTTCATTTTCTTCAGCTTACAAAAATACACATATTTATTTATTATCCTTAAAGACTTAAATATTTTAAACGTAATGAAAATTATGTGGCATAAGTATTGGGACATCTTAGGTATTAAAGTATTTTTGGGATAATACATGTAAATGCAGTATTTCAATGATGGGCCCTGCCGGATTGTAAAAAGCGGAAGAAAATAAAAAGACGGAAGGGAATTCTGCGGAAGAGGGAAGCGGAAGAGAGCCTGTCCCTGCCGAATATCTCTTTAATTTAATAACTACTAAATAAACAAAAATTAAAAGTTTTTTGACTTTATTATTAATTATTAATCACTTAATTCATTTCTTTACTTAAATTCTTCTGGCAATATCCATTATTAAAAAAATATACCTAATTTTGAAACATCAGTTTTTATATATAGTAGTACCATTTAATTATTTATTTATTTATCTCGCATCATTAAATAAATAAATAAACTTTAAAGTACTTCCTAAAAATCCTCCCTCAACTTTTATTTAATCCCTCCTCAATTAAACAAAAAATAAAAGCTTTTAAAGTCTTAAAAGTTCAAAAATATTTTTCTACAAAACAACCCAAAATTAGAAAAAAAATATTTTAGAAAAACTAAGTGTTTCCATTTAAAGGAAAGAGAATTAAAAAAATGTTATTTTTTTAATTAAAAAAATATTTTAATAAGCGATATTAAAAGTCTAAATAAAAAAATAAATAAATAGACATTTTAAATTAATTAAATTATGAGAGGGATTTAGTAGTAGAAGGACATTTTTTGCCATTTAATTTATTAAAATAATTTTTAGGAATTTTGGTTTGATTAAAAAAATAATCTAAAAATTTTTTTGGTTAATAATTTTAATTTGTTAAATAATAAAATATTTTTTGTGATTTTTTGTAATAAAATTTTTAGAATTTTTAATTAATAAATTAAAAAGACTAAAAAATAAAATTTAAAAAAATCTTTAATTTCCCCAACTTTCAACAAAAAATAAATATTTTTTTAACATTTTATTCAGCCCTCACATTTCCTTATTAATTAAATAAAAATATATACATTGACATAAGAATATTTAAATTTATTACTTAAATACTTTAAACTTTTGAACTTTTTTATTAAAATAAATTATTTATTTAATTTTATTTTTTCTGAAAAGGAAAGGAGAAAAGGGTAATTTACACCGACAAAATGCGAGAATAAATAAATTATTTTGAGGTTATTAAATATAGGTACATATAGCTGGCTATTTTTGTATTTAATTTAGCTTAAAAGTAAAAATAAATATATTTTTATTTAACATTTTTAAATATTTATTTCCTCTTTCCTCCTCCCCTTTCCTGTCTCAACTTCCTCCTTTTTAGTGCTTCCAAAAACTTTTATATTATAAATAAATCTGTTAATTATTAGAAGCTTTTTTTAATAATTTTTCTGATCTATAATAATTTTAAATAATTTTAAATAAATTATTTATTTTATTTTTTTATTTAGAAAAAAAATTGTTGCTTCTAAACAATAATTAATAATTAATAAAATAATTAATTACCTAATTAATTAAATGCCCTTTCAAATTCCAACTTGTTCATCAACTTACGGTCAACAAACAATGATAAAAGTAGAAACAACAAAACATCGAAATAACAAAGAAAACAACAAAGAAGACGAACAAAACAAAAAAGTTCTGAACAAAACAAACATTTTTAACGTTGAAAAACTTGAACATTTAAAAACAACGCCTATTTCTTCGCCTTGTTTTGCAACATCTTTTTATTCAAATAAAACATTGTTTTCCCTAAATCAACAAATGTTTTCTTCATTTTTGTTGTTTATTGTTTTGTTTGTTTTATTTTTGCCTGTTCAGATTGAGGCACAAAGCAATGGTAAAAATTTTGGGAGAGAATAATTTAAAAAACATTTATTTATTTTAGGGAAGTGTTATTCATTCGCTCCTGGCCTTACTATACTTGGAGCTGACTATCGAAGAGATTTTGGATTGTCACGTAGACAATGTGCGGATGTATGCAAAAGTAGAGAATTTTTTTATAAGAATTCTAAAAAATCTTTTAATTTTTTAGCCGATGTTTGTTGTATGGCCTTTGAATGGCAACGTATTGGTGGACAATGCACCCTTAAAAGTCGGTCATTGAATGGAACGGTTGTGAATTTGGGAATTAGTAAAGGGGATGAAAATACTGAAAAGTCTAATGAGGGGAAGGATTTGCTCTTTGCTTTGTGTTTGGATTATGGTAATTATTTTAATTAAAGTACCTATTTAGGGTTAAACAAATGATCATTAAAGTATTAAATTAATTATTTCGGTAGAATTAATGTCTTGAAAGGCGTCAGTCATACATATGAGAGTTTCAAAAAAAGAATTAGAATTTGTTTTTATTTTCTCTCCAATTACTAAATTAAAATACTAATACCTATAATCCTTCTTTGCAATCTTTGAGACAGATGCCCTTTAAAAATCCCTAGAAAATCCTTTCCTAAAATAAAATCAACTAAATAAAGTCTAAGAATAATTTTAATTGAAATTATTTTTTTCTAATTCTTTGATGATATTTTTAATTTTTACTTCCTTTTTTATTAAAATTTTTCTGGAAATAGATTAAAAATTAGTTTATTAGTATTACTTGTAGTTTTCTAAAATAAAATTTCTAATCCCCACATTTTACCTAAAAATCACGGAAAATCATTGTTTTTTCGTCTCTCTCTCTCTTATTTTCTTCTAAATCTAATGAGTAATCTTAATTTTCCAATTTTTCAAAAAATATATTTATTTCAATTAAAACAATACAAAAATATTTTTACGCAATTTTTTGCCAAAAATTTTAATATGCAAAAATATATTTACTAATTAGAATTTCTATTTTTAGAGATACAACTTGTACGTAGCTATTTATTTTTTAATTTGAAAAAAAACGTGTTTCTGATACAAAAACAAAAATATTGAGAAAATTGAGAAAGCGGATAAGGAATTGTTTTGGGATATAAATGAATTAAAAATAGGAAAGGTTTCCTAATAATTTTAGATTTAGAAATAAGACAAAAATTTAAAAACAATATTGGATCAACAAATGGCACAGGAAACACTCTTAATCCTTTAAAATATTCCAATCACTCAACTTAAACACATATATTTTCCAAATTTTCTTTACTTTATTCACAAAAATATTTCATTTTTTAAGTAAATCTGTACTTGCTAACCTTTTAAAAATATGTATATTTATTTTTAGATCTTTCTACGTACATATATTTTACCTTTTCCATTTTATAAACATATTTTAAGTCTACTAATTAAGATTTTAAAAATGAATAGAAACAAAATTAGGCGAAAAATATTTTTTCAAAAATTATTCCAAAGTGTAAATGGGTGTCTATGTATAAGTATAGTAATTAATGAAAGTGTGTCTTTACCATGAGGCATTTTCTCCCGAAAATTTTTTTTCTAAAAATTTTTTATTTTCTTCTATAACTTATAACCTACGACACAACTTCCGCTTTTCTAGAAAACAAAAAAAATTTCCAAACATTTTTAATAAAAGGGGAACTATATATAAAGGTGGGCGTCTCTACGTAAATATTTAAAAGGAACAAAAAAATATTTTCTACCTGATTAATGTTTAAAAAATAAATTTAGAAATAAAGGAACTAAATTTTCTTTTTTTTATTTTTAAATAAAATGCCACGAAATATTCCGAAAACAAAGGAAAAATGCGTAAGAAATGTTTCTACGTAAAATATTGTTTGTTTGGAATAAAAAAAGGAAATTACGTAAAAATGAAAATGATATTGTATGTAGATCGAAAATAAATTTGGAATTTATTAGATATAATGTTAACTTGGCTTAAGGGTATACATAGCCAAATTAAGAGCTTTTTACATTACCTATTGGGAGTTAAAGGTGTTAACTTATGAACATTAAAGACGTTAAAAGGTAAAGGTAATTTGGAATGTTATGAAGGATGATTAGGATATTGATGTCAGAAGAGGAAGAGAGTTTATAGGGTATATCTTCTGTATACTCAACACCTGTTAGTTGTAATTACAATCGTTATTTAAGCGATATTTCCATTAACTTAGTTGGAGGAAATTGACTTTAAAAGAAGGGAATTCAAAAATTATTTAGAATACTTTAATGATCATAGAATAACTAGTTATCTAATTTTTAAAATTATTTTTTTAAAGGCGATTCTGAACGTGATCGGTTTTGGGATCATGAACTTGGAGGCCCTATTGTTGCAACTAAAATAGACGTTGAACGAGAAAATTGTGCTAAAGTTTGTGCTGAATTCTCAACTATTAAAAAACGAAAAATAACAATTGAAAAAGTTGAAGAGGAAGAAGATAAAGAAAATGAGGGAGAAGAATTTGATAATTTTAAATTAAGTGAATTAACTTTATTTGCGAGGAATATTAAAAGGCGGGCAAAGCGGCCAATTCACAAGGTAACAGAATAATTAAATTTCAAAAATTCCAAAAAATAATTTTTTTTTAATTTTTCAGTTTCCAAAAATTGAAAAAAGTTTGTCTTCTGGAAAAGAAGCTCCAGCAGTAATATATAATTGGCGGCCTGTTGATCCAACAGATATGGAATCACCATTGGGTGAATGCCAATGTATTTCAGTACTTCAGCATATTAAATTAAATTTTGGATCCTTTTCTGGATTTTTAATTTGAAGGAAAATAATTAATTAAATTACTAGTTTTTTTATTTTTAAAAATATTTTATTTTGAGTATGGTGGAATCTCCCTATAATGATGTAGAGTGGGCGGAATTCTGATTTCTGACACCCGCCTCTGACCCATAGGCACTAACCTAAGAAAGAAAGTGACTTGGGAAGGGGCGTCTTTATAGAGAAATTCCACTATTTATAATTCAATATTAGCTCTAAGAGCTTTTCTTATTTTAATATTGTCCATAAAATGATAGACTTATTCTGTTTTAGAGGGATCCGTTTGGAACCTTTTTTCCTTCAAAACATTGTTGCCAATGTTTCAATAACTGAGTTAACTTTATTTACTTTTAACATTTAACCAAATTTATATATTTGTTTCTAATCATTCTTTTAATTATTTAAAATTAATCAAAAAATACACACATATCTTTCTTCCTTTTTTCTTATATTTTTTCCCAAATATCCAAAATAAATAATAATAATTATACTTATATATTGTTGACATTTGATCTCAATTTAATATTATATACCAAATATTTTTTAGTATTTTACTGCAATTTTTACTCTTTACTATAATTCTTTAATATTAATAAAATAAATGTTTTTTTAATTGGAATTTATAAATTAATTTGAAAATAATAAAAAAAATTTACAAAATATTCTGATTTTTTACTATTTAATTATAGTAAGAAAAAATATATGGGAATTCGAAAAATACTGTCAAAGATAGGAATTTTTATCCATAATTAAAGAGAATCTTTTTTTCCTTCCACATTAGTTTTAAACAGGGTTGGGGCCCGGTTCGTTTCAAAAGATCGAACCGAGCCTCGAATTCTGGCCCGAAAAAGACTCGAACGGCCCGTTAGATAAAAACGAGGCACGAAAAAATAACTAGAACGTCGGCCCTGTTCGAAAAATCCAAAAATCCAACCTATCAAAATAAACATTTTATGAATATAAAATTAAAAAAACAATTCCTAATTTTCATCTAACCTTCAGATAAATTCAAATTTTTTAAATATAGATGGATCCTGAGATATAATATCATTAAATTTCGTTCAAAAGTATTTTTCTCTTTTTTTAAAGATTTACTTAAATCTCCTTTTTTCCATTTTTTTTCGATTGATCAGCTGCAATCAAAGCCTGACAGGCGAGGACAACACGTTTTCTTATTTGCCTCTTTGATTGTTTTTAAGAACAAACAAATGCTTTTTTATTTGTTAGAATTTTAGTGCGGGCTGACAAAAATCATAAGTTAATTATACCTTTCAATATTTTAAAACTTTTATTTTTAAAAATCAAAAAATCAATTTCAAATTTCAAAATTAAACAATTAAATATATATGGATTTTAAGGAAAGCCATTTCCCCAAACTCTCAACATTTCACAATTCAATATCCAAATTTTTTATATCTCCCTTGGGTAAAAATATATTTCTTTTTGTTTTGTGTTAAAGAAAAATAAAGTTGGAGACAAATAGCAAAGCTCTGTTTTTCTTTTAAAATCTTTTTAGATGATTAGCCTAGAAAAAAAAGAGAAAAAATCTAGATATATTTATTTATATCCACCTAAATAAACACAAAAAAATATTTTATCTCCCACTCTCTCTCTCTTTCATATAAATCCCCCCAACTCTTTATCAATATGTAGACAAACTGGCCCAGTAATTCTAATATCCTCTCCTCTCTCTTTTTTTTTGTTTTTAGTTAAAGCTTCTTCTTTCTACTATATCCACAAATTTATTTACCTTCTTTTTTTATTTTATATTTTGTGTTATCCGTCATTTGTTCAAATACTTCTTTTTTAATAAAAAATATTATTTTATACAAATATATATTTAATTAAATATTCTAAATTAAATAATTGTTTAGATTATGCATATATAAGGGATCCTGGCGACATAAAAAACAAATTCTCGATTTTAGGAAATGGCAATCAGAACGGCTAGGTTCCGTATATTTTATCATTTTGGAATTATTTTTAGAAAATTTTTTATAATTATTAAGCTTTCTTGTATGTATTAATAATCTTGAGAGAAATAGAATTAGAGATTAAAATGTAATCATTGTGATTGTGATGTTATTCGTAAAAAACTCATATAGACTAAGGAAAGAGAGTTACAGATCTCTAAGAATTGAAGGGATCACTGATTATGGAGTCGCTTTATTTTCAAACTAAAATTTTATTGTTTATTTTTAATTTAGTAAAGTAAAGAATATTTAAAAATTGTAAGTATTTTTATAACTGATTAGAGACTAAAATAAATTGTTTATTTATTTCCCTTTATAAAATTGTTATATTTTACTAATTAAAGATAAAAATAGAGACAAATATGTACATATATTTATTTAGAAAAATTAAATAAAAATCAACATTTAAAGAAACATTTAAAAATATTTTTTTTGTTTTTTAGTTTTAAAAAAAATTTAAAAAATGCAATCCCTTCGGCTTTTGAATGAATTAAAGAGTTATTGTGAATCTTCTATTTCTGATAAGCCTCAAAATGAAAAAGGTGTTAAATAAATATTTATTTTAATTAACTTTAAATTTATTTATTTCAAGTTAATCTAAGATTCGCTGGACCCTCACAAAATTTCAAAATTTTTCAATATTGTTTTTAAAATTATCAATAAACCTCAAAAATAACGAAAATAAAAATATTTATTTGAGGGCACACAATATCTGGGAACAAAATTTTAGTTTAATGAATTTCAGTACTGGGTTTAAGCTATTGTTTAAACGCTTTTCAAAAAAACAATTTTCAGAATTTTTTATTTATTATACCCCGGTATTCTAAACGAAAAAAATCAGGCTTTTCTGTTTTTTCATATAACAATTTAAGAAAAAAATTCCGTAAAAATATTTTTTATTAATTTAATTAATTTAAAAATTAAAAAATTTAAGGTTTTCCAATTGCTGTAAAAATATTTCCACGTTATGAAAATAAAAAAGAAGAAACAAATCAGAATATTAAAGAAGAAGAAGAAAAGGAAAATTTAAATTTAAAAATAAATTCTGATTTTGAATTAAAAACAAAAGAAAATAAAAATTCTGAAAAATCAGAAGAAGAAGATGAAATTTTAACAGAAGAAGAATTTCAACGTTTAAAAAGACGACAACTTTTCCCGACAGAAATAATTAACGAAATTTTAAATTTTTTAACTTTTAATGAATGTGCAAGAATTTATACAAGTAATGGATTAATTTGTGGGTTATTAGAAAGTAGAAGAAAAGTTTGTATGGAAGTTGTGAGTGTTTCTTTAAATTTATATTTTGTTGTTAATACTTAATGCTTGATAGAGTATTTTATAAAATTTTAAAAATTTCCTCTCCGGTAAAAAAGTCGACGAAATTATTTTTTCTTAGCAATTAAAATAAAAATATTAAAAATAAAATAAATTTAAAAATTGTTTATCGACTAGTTTGGTTCCTAAGGAGTCCTAAAAATGCTTTATAATTCCATTAAACTCACTTCGAGAATTATTTTATTCCATAAGGGATATTGGTAATAAATGATAAAAATGTATGTCTAAGTCCAGAGATTATGTCCAGGGATTATACCCTTAAAAATTTTTTTTCAGTTTATTCAAAGAATAGACTCAACGCGTGAAAGGCTAGATCAAACAATAAAGGCAAGAAAACAAATTTATAAAAATTTAAATTAAAAAGTTTAAAGGATAATTTGCAGGAAGTAGGCCAACGAAGGGAACATATTAACCAATTAACTGATCATATTGGGGTAATAAATGCTCGGTTAGAAGATATGGGAAGTCATGTAAATGTTTATTAAAGTAAAAAATTAAGAGAAAACTTTTAGTTAAAAATAAATTTTTAGAAAAGGAATAAACGAAAGAAAAATTATCTTAGGGGTAATTTTAACTACTTATAATTTTAAGTTTAACTTTTCTTTTATTTTCACTTTTTATAATTAGCGAGTAATTAAATTATTTTTTTAAAAATTAGTTAAAAGAGTTGGATGCTCAAATTTTGGATAATCATCAAAAGTTGAATGATTTACATAAAAGAATTGAAAAAATGCAAGTACCTTCTATTCAACAATTAAATAAAGAAATAGAGGAAGACGAAAATAATGAATATTAAAATAAAAATGTGATAAAGAAAAGAGATCCGGTTATTCTTTAATTAATTTTTTAAAAATATTGAGAATATGTATTTTGATTGAATAAACATATTATTTCATAATTAAAATAAATTTCACGTGAACGGATTTATAAACCAAAAATAGTCGGCGTCTACAAGGCAGCGCTGAAATGTTCACATAAACCTAAACCTTTTGGATTGAAAAGACAATTTTGCGTTAACAACACAGTGCCAAAGTTATTTCTTCAGCCATAACAACTTTAACAACAAATCTTATAGCATTTGAAGGCTAACGATTATATAAATTATTTATTAAAGGATAAATCCTACCAAAGTCAAAAGTTATGGGAATAAAAAATTAGCGCCAAATAATCTGTTGCCTTCAATTGTTTTTGCTTTGTTTTTAATTCAAAATTGAAATTTTTTAATAACAATTTTTTGCAACCGAATTGTCTTCAACCGTTTCCCTTATATGTAAAACCTATGCTTTTTAACTTCAAGTTTTGATTAAAAACTTGAATCTGAAAGGTTTAGGTTTTATGGGGTAAGTGAAATAATTCGGCGCAGATTATTTGATGTCTAGCAAATTTTTATGTCCTATGGAAATAACATTTTTTTTCCGTTCATTGGGCCCTTTTGAAGGCCAAGTTCTAATGCCTTTTGGCAAAAAATTCTAAATTTCAACCAAAAATATTAAAAAGATTCATTTATTTATATGACTAAATATCGATAAATTGTGTTAATTAAAAAAATTAAATTTGTAAAATATTAATAGGAATAATTATATATTTTAAATAAAAATTGGGGTAAAAATGATTAAAAAATATTACTTATCTTTAACTAAATTAAATACATATTAAAATAATAAATACATAAAAATTGTACTATTTTAAATTGGATAAATTGTAAGAATCCTCACTTAAGAATTTTTATATACAGTCAAATTGTTTGCTTCCTTATAATTTGTCTGATCAAAATATTTTTTTGAAAAAAATTTGGAATTTTATCAAACAATTGTTGACTGTATTTAATAATCACATTAATTTTTTTCTATTTTTATTTGGTATAATTGCAATTAATAAATTGTTGGGATTAAAAAAAATTAAAAATTATTATGGGACTTTAATTGAATAATATAGTGTAGATTATGTAGGTTTTGATTATAGGAGAATTACAAAGAGAAAGTATATATATAAAAGATAAATAAAGCATTTAATTATACATATAGAAAAATTTAAAAGAATATAGGTACATAACCTAAATTAATTATTTAAAAAATTTAAATAAAATTTCATCCAAAAATTTTCTCAAAAAAATGTCCACCAACGATGTGCAGCCACAAAAGTGCTTGTTTGGTGGGCAACACTTCCAGCTGAATTTGTAGAATTTAAATTATCATAAATGTTATTGTTAAATAAATGACCACCGGCAATTAGAAGTAAAAGAAACAGAAAAGCACATTTTGATAGGATGATCAGACCTTTAAAAAATTGTAGTTTAAATTTGTGAATAAAGTTGAGGTTAAAATAGATTACAAACAAATAAATATTTCTATTATTTAGGGAAAATTTTCTGGAAGAATAAAGTGAGATATGAAAATAATAATAAACTCTTAAACGATAGGACTAAAAATAAAAAATGGATGGTTCTATTAAATAGATTACTATGTATTTTATCCAAAAAAAACTTTCCAATAATTTATTTTTTCACCTTTAGTTGAACAAATAGAGTCAACAATCCAAGCAACCCAAATCCAATTAATTGGTGAAAATATTGAATTAAATGAGACAGTTAAATCTATTGGGTATCTCTTGTCATCATTATCGTTAATTTGTTGTCTTGATTTTAATCTTGATTGAACTTCTTTCTGCTTTAAACAAAAATCTATAGTAGAATGTAGATCGTGGGAACGAATTGGATTATAACCTTTAAAATTGGGGAAAGTTGGTTAATTTTAAAAAATATTAACCAAAATCTCGCATTGCTCGTTGACACGAAAATGTGTTAGTAACCCCAACTATAGCACATTCAAAACGTGTTAAATGTGGTTCTATTCCAAACCAGCGATACATTAGCTCAGAAAGAAATGCAAAAGCATATATAATGGAATATGGAGCACGAATACAATTTGAAGAACAATTTAAAGCTGTGGCCAAAGGATTCCAGAAACCCCAAGAATGAACCTAAAAATTTGTAAAATAATTTTTAATTCAAAAATAATTTACAGGAGGACCAGCATCTACAATATGATATTTATTGCCTGCAGCAGGACTGTTCTGGTATCGCAACGATTGTTCAGAAAGTAAAAGAGCCTTTAAAAATTAAAAAGAATATATATAAATTTGTCAGAATTTAGAGGTTATGGGATAACTTTTGTTAAAAGGCCAAAGAAAACCTCGATTAATTACTCTAAATATTGTCCCTTTTCCCTTTAAAAATTCAAAACACTACATTAACAGTATTTTCCGCACTGCTGAACTGAGTTAAAGGTACTTCTGACTTCCAAAAAGTAACTAAGACATTTTTACAAAGAAAATCCTGAAATAAAATTAAATTATTTTAATGAATAAATAAATTATAAAAGATGGATATTAGTATACTCAAATAAAACCCTTAGGTGTGAGAGTAAGCCCCGGGTCAGTAAAACATCTGAATAAAGTGAAAGAAGCGTTTAGCAATGTAACTGCAAATGTAAACTGAAAAAAAATGTAACTGCCACAAGGAGAACCCTCACTTAAATTTTTTCCTAACTTTTAAAAAATTAAAATAAAAAATATAAACACCACAAAACGTTGGACACATCGCAACTAAAATTAAATTTATTTAAATAAATAAGAAAAATAATTTTTTTACTTCTCCAGGCCCATAAATTCCTCGCAATCGAAGTGCGCAAGTTGAAAACTTTGGCGGGCAATTTTCTGCTAAAATAAGCTGTTCGGCTGCAGATTTAGATTCTGCATAATAATTTCCATATTGTGAAGATTGTAAATATGGAGTATCCTCATCTGCCATATAAAGCTCTGTATGGCCATCAAAAATAACTACAACCTATAAAAAGTGGTTATTAAATTTATTGAGGGTTTAGAAAATGAAAATATAGGCTCCATAGGACATGCGTCCTATGAACCTTCATGCGTCTCATAAACTCATGTGTCCCATGAATTACTATTATGTGTCCTATAAATATTATTATAGGGAAATTAATCGGAAGAAAGGCTTTTATTCAAAAAGAATAATTCGAGTAAATTATTTGTCAACTAATTGTTTTTAAATTAAATATTCGCAGTTCTAAATACTAATTTAATTTGCCGTTAATTAAACGATTATAATAATTATTAAAATAATTTTATTCTAGATTCCCAATAAAAATTTAATTTTTTTATTTGTATCTCTGATTTTTCTTTTTAAATATGTAATTATCAACTTACAGAGCTAGTAAACACTAATCTAGAAACACCCAAATTTTTGCATATTTCAATAACATTTTTGGTCCCCCAATAATTTATAGCAAAACATTTTTCTTTGTTTAACTAACAAAAATAATTTTTTTTTAATTTAAAAATTAATTTTTAAATAAATTACCGAAGGCCCTCCACTCATTCCATAACCAGCCAAATGAAAACAAGCATCACATCCAGCTAATGCTTCAATTAATTGATCAGAACGTTCAATCGAACCCTTTAATATTTTTAAATAAAATACATATAGACAAAGAAATAATTTTTAAAAAGAAAAGCTTGTTTAAGAGAAAATTGAGGGATAGAAGAGGGATATTAGCAAATACTCCATTTCAAATATCTCATTCAATAATTAAAAAACCTCATTAGTTTTTTAATTAATTTAGATTCCCTCTAGTGGTTTAATCTTTTTTTAATTAATTCTCTACTTTTTTTTTGAATTTCCGTAATTGTTTGTTAATCATTCTTAATTTACCACAATAATTCCTCTAAAATAGTGTCTATTTATTTAAAATTACCTCAATTCTTTGTGTCAATTCTTCATTAAGTTTTATATGAGGAAAAGACGCAAAAAAGTTTAAATCAAAAAGAACAACAAAATGACCGCCTTCGTTTTGTAATGCTTGGGCTAACAATTGTCCTAAAGAAATTTAAAATAAAAAAATTTTTTTCAAAAATTTTTTAACAATTTTAACTAAACAAATTAAATTAAAATTATTTTTTTAATTTAATTTAAATATGTACCCAATAAAAAATTAACTAAAGAAAGCTTAAATTAACCCACCCAAATAACCACCACCGCCAAGTATACACATGCGCATTTTTAATTAAATTTTTAAGAAATTAATAAATGAATTAATTAGAGAATCTATTAAAAAAATTTATTTTTTTAAATTTAAAAGGCCAAATCAATATTAAAATTTAAAAATTAAAAAGGAAATTGTTTTTTATAAAAGTAAAAGTATTTTTATTTTTCTTTAATCTTATGAGTCAAAGATTGGATTTTAAAATAATTTTTATTTACATCATCCCACAAAAATAATTGACAAAAAATAATAATAAATAATAGAGAAAATAAAAAATTGAAATAATTTTTTAATTTGAAAGAAAATGGGAATTTTAGGAAGAATAAAATAAAAGTTTTTTTATTTTGAAGAGAGAAAATATATGTCAATGTACTCTATATTCGGGATAATTTATAGTAAAAATAAAGTCTAATTTTTTAAATTATTTATTAAAAAACAATTTTGATAAAAATTAATTCTGACAATTTAAATTTAGGTCAAAACCTGAATTGCTAAAATATTTTTTTCCAAAAAATTATTCACAAAATCCAATCACGTCATTTGAAAAGAAAATTTAGAAATCAGCTGACCCGCAAGTTTTTTTGGATGGATTTTAAAAGTGCCGCCTTATGGAGAATAATAAAAAAAGAAAGTTTATTGTACATATTAATAGAAAAATCAGCTGTGAAATTATTTTTCAAAATACTTTAGGAGAGAATTGCTTTACAAAGAAAGGTTGCGCTTTAAAAAGTCAGTTGTTGTTTATAAAAATAAATTTAAAATAAATATCAATTATTAAATAATTTTATTTAAAAAAATTTTTTTACAAAAAAGGCTTAAATAAAAATTTTTGTAAAAAATACATATATGTATGTATAAAAAATATACTAGCTTTTGTCGGAAGAAATATTTCTTCACAATAAGATGTGTTATGATGTGAGTAATAAGAAAATCATGCGGGAGGAGGGGAAGAGGATGCCGCGCTACATCTTCAAAGAATGTATAAACATCTGATATTTTTGAAGATTTTATTTGATTTAAAAGAGGAGAGGGGAGGGGAGGGGATTGCTTTGTATTTATTTTTATTTTTTTTTAAAACCTTCTTTTGCTCCTCCCATTTTTTTATATTATTTACCTTAATAAGTAAAGAAGGAGAGAGATTAGAGAATTTAAACAGAAACAAATAATTAACAAAACTATTCCGGAAAGGATACGGTGAGGAATAGAATACAAACGTGTAATTTTCCGGAAGGGTTATAAACACCAGATAATTGTAGGAAGATGAACAATTCCGGAAAAAGATATAAATAATTCTGAGAGAGAAAAAAGATGAAAAGAAAAGAGATTCTGAAAAAAATTCTGAATTAATTTCCGGAAAATATCAGAAAAATAAAAAGTTATAAGAGAATCAAAATTTTAACAATTCCAAAAAGACAAACAAAAATCTTTTTATTTACCCACCCCCAAACAAACAAACAAATTTTATATTTAATTTAACTCAAAATTTGTTTTGAATAAAAAAAAGTTGGTCAACAACAATAATTGTAAGGATGCGCTAAAAGTGTGCACGTGCTGCCCCTCTTTTAACAAAAAAAACTTTTTTTTACACATTTCCGGTGAGGGAATATTTATTTAGTTAAAATATATAAATTGAATTATTTCGTCAGATTAAAATAAATAGAAAAACAGGCGTATAAAATCGCTCAGCTGTCAAAATAAATAAATAAAAATTTTTAACAAAAGTTTGTGTCAAATTTAATTAAATTTATATATTAAAAGAAGTAGCCGGATGGAAAGGTTAGCCGGAAGTTTTTAAAGGGACATTAACAGAGAGTTTTTCAGAGAAATTTTAGAAAATAAAATTTGGAGAATTTATTTCCATTTTTTAAAAATTAATCATTGGCCATTTTAAAATTTGGAAAGAAAAAATTTATTTTAATTTTTAATTTCAGATTTTTTATTTAATCTGTAAAGGAAACATTTTTTGGGAATAATATTTACTATTTATTTTTTATTTTTATTTTTAATGACCACACATTATTAAATGATATATTAAAGGAAATATTTATTTTGTATTAAAGTATAAATATGCGCGAATATTTTTTTAGAAAATATTTTTAAAAAAATGTAATAATAAAGAAGGATTATTATTTATTATTAATTGTGTGGTATTTTTTGTTTGGGTCTTCTTTTCGGGTCTTTTATTATTTTTATTTAAAAAGTGGAGGAGATAATCAATTATTATTAAATAAAAAATATATTCGTACACACATTTTAGTACATAAAATCTAAACCGGATTTAATTAAGAGGAGGAAATGGAGGGGGTGGAAGTGATCGTTAGGGCGCAAAGTTTTACAAAATGGAAAGAATGGGACAAAGTTTCATAACAATTACAACATATATAAATATAATAATGAAGGTTAATTAACTCGGCAAAAAATTTCAAAAATTTTGGATTTGTAAATTTAAATTATTTTCAAAAAAGTCTAAAGTATTTTGACAAGTTTTATATCTATAACTTTCGTAGTTCCTAACAAAAAATTCTGAAAATTATAGAAAAGATAGGTAATATTATCAAATATAATCAAACAAATTTTCATTCCAAAAGGTTCGGGAAGGGGAGATTTACCTAAAACCGCGCCATAACGCTTTGGCGCCGAAATTAAGTTAAGAAAGATTAATTTTTTCAGCTTTTGTTTCCTCTCAAAAATATTTTTTGTGTAATTTTTGGCAATGAATTTTAATTAAAAGAATTAAAAACAAAAAATAAAATTTTTTTAAAAAATATTTTTAAACACAAACAACAACAAAACATTCCTTCATTTTCTGTCTATAAATTTGTAGTAATTTTGGATAAAAAAAAGAAAAATTAAATTAAATTAACTAACTTAAAATTAAAAATGTTTTTTTTTAATTTTTGGCTCGACAAAATTATAATTAAATTACTTTAAAAAATATTTTCGAAAATATTTATAAAAAAAGGGTGAAAAAGAGAGAAGATTTTTTAAAATAAAGAAGAAACTTTTAAAAAAATAAATATGTAAGAATTTATTTAAAAAATATTTCTGTTACAGATTAAGAATTTAGATTTAAATAAATAAAAAGATTTAACATGTAAACCGATTTTTAAGGCACCTATTAGAATAGAAAATAAGTAGATTAGAATATTAAATCTGTATTTCTGTCATGTAAAAGTTGCAAGGGTTTGAAATGCCCTAACAAAGATGAATTAAATTTAAGTAATCCAATTTAAAACGGATTGAAAAAATACATTAACAAAACTATAATTATTCTGAATGTTTTTTTGTTCAGTGTTTGTAAGCTCGTTCCAAAATTCGTACTTGTACCTGCGACAAAATATGTACATAAGTATTTTTTAACAATAATTATTTTTTTAATTTCTAAAATATTTTTATTTTTAATTTATCACACCACAGACAACCTTTACAACCAAAATACACATTTTTCTTCACAAAAATTTTTAGTAAATCAATTTAATAAAAAATATTTGGCAAAAAATTGTCTCGCCAACGTTCAAGGTAAATGGAAATATAGAAAAAAAGAAGAGGATGAGAACCTAAATAAAAATATTTTTGTAGCAAAAACAAAAAAATAATGCTAAAATAAAAAACAAAAATGATAAATTATATTTCGGTTGTTTTGAAGAAATTTGAAATTCAGTGGATAATAATAATATAACTAGTGTTCGAAAATCTAGAATTTGGTTGTATTCACAATTCGTAAACAGAAACGTTTACGAATTTTGGTGCAGGTAGGGAGAATTTAGACAGTTAAGTAGTTTTCCAGGTTTAGATCTTCATTCTCAATATTAGAATTCTTATACTTTTCATTTATCAAATAATTCTTAAATTACTCATATAAGCACACATTATTAAAGGAAACAATCAACCAAGCTAATGAAAAAATAATATATAATATATGAACATCTCATATTTCTCTGGATTTTGGAGTAAGGTTGGCAGTTCCGCCTATCCGAAATCTTCTGTTCAGATATCGGTTCCGGTTCCGGATATCCGTAAATTTCCTAGTAACCGCCATCCTTATTCTGGGGACAAACCAATAATCCTATTTATTTTGTAGCTAAATAAATACCTGATGGAATATTCTAAATATTTTTTGCAAAAAATATTTATTTATTTTTGACATTTTTAATAAAAAATATTAAATAATTATTTAGCAATTAAATAAATAATATAATTACTAATTTCCCTAATCTTTAATTATTTGCAAAAAATAAATGTTTTTATTAAATAAAAAAACATTTTAAATAAAATGCCGGAAAGAGAAAATAAAAGCAAAACAAAACACACAAAACAAACCACGTGTTTTAATAATCTTTGCTATTTAATTTTTGTTTGACATATTTTAGGAAAAGAAAAATAAAAAATGAGTAATATTTAATATATTAAAGGTTATTTTTAAGTTTGAAAATAAATAGAAATAAATAAATTAGGGTAATCAAAGATTTTAGTCTGATAAATAAATGTTAGAGGCATAACTTTTCTTTCTCGCATAAAAAAGCCTAGAATAGTCCAAAACCGAATTCTAAACCCCAAAATTTGAGATAATATTTTTTCGCCTAATATCACAAGAAAAACACAAAAATCTGATAGAAGTAAAGAAACAAAAGCCTTGGTTAGCAAATAAGACAGAAAACCTCCTTCTGTGTGCTTAGGCTTTTTGTTGTTGTTATAAATTATGTGGTTCTATTTAAATATATATGTGAATCAGAACGTCCTATGGACAGTTTTCAAGGTCCTGAAGCCTGATATTTATTTTTACTAAACAAAGAGGTTTTAACAAAAATTTAGAAAATTTTAATTTAGAGAAAATAATAAAGTAAAAATGAATATAAAAAATAAAAATATATTTATTTTAATAGTAATTCTTTTGACATTTTAAATTTGATTTTATAAAGGGATTAACTACTTATTTGTTCAAATTATTTTGTTAAATATATTTTTTAATAATAATTAATTAAAAAATCTAAATTTAAAACATCCTTCCTTTAAATAATTATTTTTTTGTTTCATTAAAAGTCAAATACATAAATAAAAACATCATTTTAATGATGTTTTTTTAAATAAACAAAAAGATAATTTATTTTTAAATACATTTAATTATTTTTGTATTTATTTTAACAGATTAATATTAAATTAGAAATTTTTTTAGAATTTTGAGATGAAGGCAATTAAACGGAAATTGAATATATAAATATAGAAACGAGAAAATAATGTTAATTTTAAGTAGGCTTATAAAATTGTTATTTTTAAGGCAAAATAAAAAAAAAATTCGGTAAAGAACAGAAGCGAAAAACAAATGATTTTTCGGTTCGGTTCTCCAGTTCAGATCCAAATATTCAAAGATCTTCTAATAACCGGCAACCCTACACTTTATAAATTTTAAAATTCTTGATCTCATATACATAGATGATTAAAATAAACAAAATTTCTAGTATTTTTCGGTCAAAAGATTTCAGAAATTTATTGAAAATTTATAAAAAGTTATTAATTTTATATTGCTCAAAAAGGTTACACAAATATGTAAGTGTTGAAATTAAAGAAAACCGATTGTAAATTAATTAATTAAACATTTAAAAAGGCAATAGATAAAAAATGGGTTTTGGAAAAAGCAAAAAAAGATGAAAAATACATGTAAAAAATGAAAAGGTTTACTAAATACAGTGCCGGAAAAAAAGATAGGACCAGACGCATACATTTTCCTTTCTTCAAATTATCTTTCGAATTTTAGCCTTTTAAGAGAAAAAATTTGTCAGAAACTATTGATTAATTTATACTCTATCAAATGAGTACAAATATTCCCTTTTTTATTAGCAATTAATACTACAAAACATTAAAAACAAATACTACTCAATTTTTGGGGTGGAAAAAAAGATAGGACCAGACTAGAAATATCGACTTTTGTTCGGTCAAAAATTCTATAAAAATTTTTATGAACATTTCCATCGATACTAAGTGGAAAATTAAAAAGAGCGAAGTCTGTAACTTATTTCTTCACCGAGATCTCACATCTCGAAAATCAACGGAAAATTGGGGTACAGTACTTAAAAAAATATTTTAACCCCCTAGAGCTTAAATTAAAAATTTTATTTTAGGCCTACCTGAAAGCCCATAAAATTTACTACAAAATAGTCCGGAAATTAATCTTTCTAAAAAAATATCCGTTTAACCCTAGTCCACTTTACATTAAAAGTGACAAAATCTCCCAAAATACCCCAAAAAAGATAACTTTCTCAATTTCCCGGTCCGTATCTCCATGAATTTTTTAACGGAAATTTTAAACGTGAGATATTCTTGTAGCAAATTTTA